GCTATCCTCCCTACATCGTCGTTCCCCCCAGACTCGAATAGACCGTGATCATTGAAGAACCAAATTTATTTGATTTCACAGGAGACAAGCTCTAGCCAGTTTAGATAGAAGCTCCCAATTTGAAACTTTTGGATTAAAAAGGTCGAACTAGGGACCGGTGCTCAGTGTTACTTATCCGCTAAAAAACCCTACATTGCAATGGATCATTAACTTATTTTGTTAAAAAAGCTTCACCCAATGGGACATTCATTTAAAATGTAACACTAATGTGCTCATACATAAATTCGCGCAAACGTTCTCGCAACTGAAATCAGCAAAATGCATGACTCGTTGCAGGATGCTACAGTAATAGCGAATTCTGGCTAACTTTTGACAAGTGTCCAGTGTTTACTATAGCCTCTTAGAAACTGAAGGGTATTACTTAATGTGCTACTCCTTCACTCTTATTCTGATTTATTTTTTCCTTTCATTTTTCTAAAGAGACGTGACATCCATCATACCTCTTTCAAACCATGAACTCTCTTTATTACCAAAACACTGATATCCGTAGCATCTTACCAGATAACTCTGAAGGAGTTCAGGTCAAAATATTTGTAAGAGTGAGTAACAGGATCGACGACAGTGTTGAACCCGACCATGTAGACCCCTCAAGATAATCCTAGTGTTGGAGGAGCAACATGATCTTTTGTTAAGTAGCGCTCGCAGTTACGACAATACCGACATTTGAGTAAGACCTGATATACCTCTTGAAAATAGAATGAAAGGGAAGACAGCACTGGCTGGACTAGAAACCCTTCGGCAAAACAGTGAGGAAAACTCCGATTAAGGGGTTTTCAAATGGTCAGCTCTTGGAAGCGAATGCTATCAAGGCCTGTGTGGTTAAGCCGTTCCTCTTAGGAGTTTTATATACCAACGGTCGTAGTCTAAGAAATAAATTCCATGAACTAGGAGCATCGGTGTACGAATTAAGGCCACTCATTGTAGCTGTGACGGAAACTTGGTTAGTTCATGACTTTGAATTATCCGGATACCACTACGTAAGAAGTGATAGACACAGATGAAGTAATGGAGGTGGCGTCCTTTTATTCATAGCCAATATTATAAATATCCGCTCCTCTGTTTACGAATCCCATTATAGTGGAACGTGTGAAGTTAACAGCTGTGAGCTCACTATCGGATGTTGTACATTTATACTCTATGTCCATCTAAGCCCAATCTGCTTAGCTGATGACTTTATTTCAGAGCATATTCAGCTATGGAGTGCAAATATCAGATGCTTGATACTAGGAGACTTTAATGTACCTGATATCAGTTGGACTAAGATGACCACGAAAGGATCTATAAACTCATTTGATGGTAGGTTCTTGATAACAGTAATGGAGCATGTATTAGTACAGCATGTATCCAAATCCGCACGTTTCGGTGCAAACCAAGGTTCGTCTCTGTTACACTTGGTAATCACTCATGAGACTGAAGATATTGCCAACCAAAATATTCTTTCACCGTTAGTGAATAGCGAACACGCTGTTTTGTCATTCACATTTAGAGCTAGCGACTTGATATACGATCAGGTCAAGCGTCTCCCAAAATGTATGGAGAGCTAGCATATCAACCATTCAGGAGTGCGTTGCTAAGACAGATTGGGCAGTAAATACTGACTCATCAGTTGAAGAAGCATGGTCTATATTTGAAAGCAAGTTTATTTCAGTTACGTGCTCGTCCATACCATACATGGTGCCACGTAGACCGAATTACAATCCACCATGGATAACTAAACAAGTCAAAAATCTTCTTAGGAATAGAAAAAAGCACTGGAATATGTTTATTTCTACTGGCTTAGGACAGTACAGATCCAGTTATTGTAAGGTTAGGAATACTTGTAAAGCATTAATAAGCAATACTAGATGGTCATGTGAAAAACAATTGGTTAGGGATTGTAAAAATGATTGAGATCATGAACCGATTGATGTTAGACCATCACAACTGAAAACCTGAAAGCACTGGACGGCCGTTTCGTCCTGTTGTGGGACTCCTCAGCAGTGCGCATACACGATCTCGCGAGCGGGATTCGAATACAGATCTTACACAGCGAAACGAAAGCCAAACGAATTCGACCAAACTATTTGTTTAGAACTGTAAGATCCAAACTACGGTTTGGAGTGAAGGACAGCTGTCTGGATGAGTCAGATACGCGCCCTCGCCCGATTGAAACTAAAACAAAGTAATTGGGTAAGATGACGGTTCTAAACAAATATAATCACTCAGTTATCCAACCAATAATTGTTCAGTTGATCAAATCTAAACAATCACCGCAAATAAATGTTATTCTATCCTGTCTGGATAGATCACGTACAGATTTGTTCAAAAGGTAATAATTGGTCGCTCTATAACACAGAGTGTTCTCAATTATGGAAGAGTGCTTCAATTCACAATCAAAATGCACAATTCCAGTCAACACAGGTCAAGCAATCAAAAGCAGGAACAAACCAAAATAGCCGCCGCCCAGACTTAGTATAAAGTAAAACAACATAAGTGCAGTTCGAGAAGAAACATGGGGAATTAGTGAAGGTGTAGTAATGTAGTCAAAAAGTTTACAATGTACAACTAAGAGGATCAATAGGAACAAAGTGCAAGTATACACATGGAGGGATTTTCACAAACACACAAAGCATTCGAAATGGATCTTACACTCAGGGCCTTCGGTCTCGCGCGTGAATGCTTAACCAACTGGACCACTGAGCCGGCATCCAATGGTGATAGTTTCTAACATCAACCAATCCACGAAATCTCGCGACCAACTTCCGTTGTACTGAGGTAGATACCTGTCTCTACCCGACAAGGATTAGCTCCACTGGTCATGGCTTCTCACCAGAACTCCGAGAATTCCCTCACGAAGCTAGTCGCTAGTGAGCACATGTTGATTACTAGTATAGGGGTTGTGAAGATTATTAAGTTTTTGATTGAGATCATGAAACTATCACCATTGGATGCCGGCTCAGTGGTCCAGTTGGTTAAGCGTTCGCGCGCGAGACCGAAGACCCTGGGTTCGAATCCCGCTCGCGGGATCGTGGATGAGAACTGCTGAGGAGTCCCACAATAGGACGAAACGGCCGTCCAGTGCTTACAGGTTTTCAATTGTGATGGTCTAACATCAATCGGTTCATGATCTCAATCAAAAACTTATTAATCTCCACAACCCCTATACTAGTAATTGTAAAAATGGTCTGAAACAGTTATTCTCTTATATAAAAAAGAGAACTCACTGAAGTGATGGAATTTCATCACTTTTGCTACTAATTCGATAATATTGGCAAGAAATACCGAAAGAGCTGAAGCTTTAACGGAATGTTCCAGTAAAGTGTTTTCTATCAGTAATGAGGAGCGACTAACGTTTCATCGTGATCGCGGCGGCTGGCTGATGGACCCTATAGTCATTGAAAAAGGTACTGTTTTGAGGCTACTCCAGCATCTTAAACCTGATAAGTCCAGTGGTCCTGATGATATTCATCCTAGGATTATAAAAGCCATATCAGATGTAATTACTGGACCTTTAGCTATACTGTTTGGTATGTCTCTGTGGCTGTTCAGACTGCCCAGAGACTGGAAAGACTCAATAATCAATCCGGTGTATAAGGCTGGGAGTGAAGATTTAGTTAGTAACCATCGAATTGTTAGTTAAACCATTGCAGTTTTAAAACCAATGGTAAAAATTATTCAGATAGCCGTATGGAAAGGCATAATCTTTTATCCAGGGAACAACATAGTTTTCGAAAAGACCTATCATGTTTGACAAATCTTCTTGTTGCAAAAAAAGATTGGGCTGCGGCGAAAGATTAGAATATCGCTGTAGGTGTGGTCTTCGTGGATCTATGTAAAGCCTTTGGTAAAGCCTCTTATTCTGGTCTTAAATTCATACTGGAAAGTTCTGGGACCCATTATACAGTCATAGACTGGATAAAAAACTTTCTCCATGACAAGAGTCAAAGGGTAAGGGTACATGGAGATCTCTCCTTGTGGGTACATGTAAAAGGTGGAGTTCTCCAAGGTACAATACTCGGTCCTGTTCTCTTTTTGCTTTATGTAATTGAATTACCAACTGTAGCAAAATCATCCATTCTATTCCTCGCCGATGACATAAAGATTTGAAGAACCATACACAGCATGTCATATAGAATAGTATTACAGGATGATCTTAGCTCATTGGTGGCATGGATGGATAGGTGGTGACTAGAAGTAAATCCTAACAAGAGTGTGGTGATGCAATTAAATAACTATGATGATTCGTATCACTACACAATATGTGGATTCGTGCTACCCAAAGCAAGAAACTATAAAGATTTAGGAGTCATATTAAGCAGTGGCCTCAAAACCACCAGTCACTGTAAGGCTGCTGCTGTGAAACGCTATAGGGTATTATGGTCTATTCGTAGGTCCTTCCGGTATTTAGATGACGAAATGTTTGGATTATTATATCCGCATTTAAAATATGGAATTCAAGCAACAAGTCCTTGTTTCAAATATGGGGTGGATATATTGGAATGAGTCCGGCGATGTAGGACTAAAACAGTAAAAAGTCTATCTGGCCTATCTTATGAAGACAAACTGAGACACTTTAACTTATTTCCGTTATCTTACCGTAGAATACAAAGTGATCCAATATTGGCTCATCGTATACTTGTTATTAATATCTCTTATCTTGTTTTCCGTCTACGACTGATCATTTGAGAGGACATTTGAAGAAAGTTCAAAAACCGAGACCAAATTGTCTACATCTTAAGTTTCGTAGTGAATTACTAGAATCCTCTACCAGAACACATAATACCAGCACCTTCTGTTAATATACTCAAAACGAGATTGGACCTTCACAGTGTTACGAACTGCAAGGAATAATATGGGTCGATAGAACTCTTATCTTTACTACTGAATAATGAATCTACAATGACCTCTGCGGGTTCCTCAAATAAATTTGAGGTCGTTCCTTTTTCCTGTCACCCTCTGGTATGGTCAACCAGTTGAGAAGTATGGCCTGCAGACATGTCCAAAACATGGTTCAAAGCGTCTCAAAATGTTCTGGGAGTGAGGCACCATACTCACCAATTGTTGATACTGGCTGTGATTCCCCATCTAGCCTTCCTAAAGCCTGTAAAACATCGGGATTATCCGAAAAAAAGTCTGAGTCTCATTCCGTAATTGATGCAAAGTGTCTGAATAAAAGCTGCGTTTCATCAAGTGTTCCTCAAGCCTGTGATTTCCACTGCGAAGCAGACCAAAAACTAAATGTCAAATGTGCACAGTCAAAAAAGATAGCATCTGAAGGTATTGTACTTCATTTTAGTTTTATTGTCCACAGATTTGGATGACCGTCAATCTCCAAATGACTATCTCTGGCAAAAATTAGAAGCACTGGTTGATCAGATGATCTCAGAAGAGGATGGAATTCCCGTCCGCAATGTTAAAAGTCTAATGTCAATAATTCCTAGCACATTTACCGGTCAGTTGCAGTTTTCTGTTTAATAGGTCTCGTTATTTAAATAAGGTTTCTGTACTTTGTTTCCTAATTGTGATAAATAACTGCCTTTAGTTTCCAATTTGATCATCTGTCGTACTATAAATACGGATTCAAAAATTAGCCAGTATACATAACCTTAAGTACACACTTAACTTTTCTCTATGGCCAGGGGGGCCGGTGAAACTTCTAATTTGATCTGAGTCTTGAAAAAACTGTCCTGTGCACTTTAATTCAGTGAGATAATCTCAGCCCTATCTTAAGGCATTTAGTATATTGATCGTTCTGTATAATTGGGACATCACTGAGTGATATAAACAGTAATTGATGTTATCGGGTGGAAAAGCTAATACAAAGTTTCTTACAAGCTTTTCATTGTCGTAGATGATGATTACTGAACCATAGCATGTTCGAGTTGCCTGTGGGTGTGGGCTAACGTCTCCACTGACGTACTTTATTCATAGCGATCTACTATCAGCCTCAATATATGTTGCCCGGTGATCCAGCCGTATGGCTTAATTTTTAAGATGGCAATATGCAAACCAAATACTCCGTTTATATGGATTTGGTGACTTATCTGTATGTTTGTGAAAATCGAATGTTGTTTTTTAGCATCTGCAAGTCATTTAAGTTTTTTTGCCAACGATTCAGGCAGTACAGTCTATAAGTGTTGGATGAAGATTTAGTATCCCCTGCTTAATCTCTAAGGTATGATAACTAGAGTTAATATATTATAAGTGAGATAATAGACAAGAAATTCCACCCTAAACATTGTTTTTCAACTAAGTTTGTGTGCAATCCAGTCTTTAATTATCATAATGATCAGTCCGATCTCAAATTTCTTTGAAAAGGCACACTTAACCAAATTATGAAGACCTCATTCTTTGTTTGCACTCTCTCTCAAAATAGTTCGTTATCCATGTACTATGTCGTTGTCATATTTTGTTGCGACAGATCATTCTTCAAAAGGTTTTAAACAAAGTTGTCTTTAAACATTAAAATTAAAACACGAAGTTCAGCGAAGGGATCTCTTTTCAACGAATTTATTATCAAGCTGTACAATCGTATATATATGAAAAAGTACTAATTCTGTGAGGAAATTCGAACACATTTAACCAAGATGACGTAATGGAAAGATTATAATACTAGATTATGTAATACAAATGATAACAATAGATTTAGTGAATATAATAAAATGATTAAAAAATTTTTGTTATAATATATATATATATATATATATATACGATTGTACAACTTGATAATAAATTCTTTGAAAAGAGATCACTTCACTGAACTTCGTGTTTTAATTTTAAAGTTGTCTTTGACAGTGTTTTTTAGCGTAGAATATGTTTTAGGAACACTGATTATTATTGACTTGATAGTTCTAAGTGTATCGGTTTATGTGACCTCCACATAAGTTGCTTTATCGATTTTATTCAAAATAAGCTTACTTATATTGTTAACTGAACTATTAAACTACCCTTATCTAATATATTAGCACTTACTGTTTCTGACTTCTTATCTTAGGTAGTGATATTGTTCATTGGTTGATGGAACACATTGGAGCTAGTGATGTTACTGAAGCCGTTCATATTGCTAGTCGTATTGCGTCTATGGGTTACATTTTTTGCATTGATGATCATGTACTCACTGTGAAAAATGATGGACATACGTACTATCGATTTCAAACTCCTTTCCTCTACCCAAGTCGATGCATGGAGGCAGATACGGCAGATTATGCTGTTTATTTGTGTAAACGCACCATGCAAAACAAACAGAGATTGGAACTGGCTGGATTTGAAGCTGAACGCCTGGCTAGTTTACAAAATATTTACTGCCATAAATGGGAGTTCATTTATATACAGGTAGGTTTTTATTTATTTATTTAAACACTTAAACATTATTACAAGGAGGCACCAAATATATGCGCGCCATATGAATCATTCGATTTATATGAGGGTTGGGATACTACCTAGATGCTCAAACCAAGGCAGATTGATTTTTTAGGGGCCCACTCTCCGAGCCTTTGAACTAGAGGTCTAATTCACTAGGTAGTAGAGCAACGTTAGGAGATGCAGTCCCGTAGTAGCTGGTGATCAATAGATCCACACGCTATGTGTTCCCTAGTGATCCTGGAGCCTATATGCACCACTGATTAGGAATCAGTGTTTTTCGACTCACCTAGGTGGACCTTATTTATTTATTTGAACACATAAATAATTGGTACGCCATTTGTTCCCGCAGGATACTGGAGCCCATGTGCACCATTGGTTTGGGATTCGGTTAAAGTGCCGGACATTCGCCTTTCGTCCTATCACTTTCGTAAACAACACCTCCGCCACGAGAAAGCAGTGAGTAGGACTTCCCTGGCAAATGCTGTATACGCGTGGCCGTGTGAAAGCACTTCGAGAGGGAGGGTGGGTCTACACCACTCTCGGCCATACCAGGGCACCTGGGGGTTATAAATTAATCATAATACTTCCGGACATTCGCTTTTCATCCTTTCAATTTCGTAGGCAACACCTCTGCCACGAGAAGGCAGTGAGTAGGACTTCTCTGTCAGTCGCTGTATACGTGTAACCATGTGAGAGCATTTCGAGTTGGAGAGCTGACTCTCTTCACCCTCGGCCACACCAGGGCGTTCATTTATATACAGGTAGATCGACCCTGAAGCTTTTCCAAATGGTCTCTCAATAAATGCATGTTTTAATTTTTACGATTAATACTCAGTTCTTTCGTAATAGTTTTCGCAACTCATTAACTGACCGCAGATTTGTATACTGATTTTGATTCACTGCATGATGACTAACGCTGGTACTCAATCGCTCAAACACGTAAAGAAAGTACTTTTGAACCTGTGGTTGAAAATAGAGTCCTAGAAACTAGTTTCTTATTCACTTAAAAATTTAAACTATTACCTATTTGTAAAAAAACATGGAGTTTCGCAAAATATGCAAGGTTGCCGTTAAAACAACACTTCTTACTTCGTCATTTAGGTTAAGCTATTATTTGCGAGTTTTTCACTGACGTATGTAGTCGGGATCACATTTTTGGTCAACTGAGTGCCAAAATGTCTAGATTATCTGTTAGGTTTTACATTTCACCGCCTTCAGTCAGCTGCTTTAGGTTATTTCGTTAGATGAAGAGCTAGTATTCCTAGTAAAAATTGTGTTTAAATTTCGTAAAGAAAGCGTATACAATGGAATTTAGTCTCCTGATTACATTATCTGTTTGTCAGATCTGTTAAATGTTGACAATTCTACTCAACTACCTGGGCAATAGTAAGTCATTGTTTAGAACTGAAATGTCTAATACCAGTGAGCATTAACTATACTTTGATATTAAGTAGAAAAGATAGAATATTAAAAAATATCAAGTTGTAACCTAATAAAAAATGACTAATAATTTTGCTTTCAAAAGATTGTTATTGACCAGTAATTTATTCACTTATCGTAAATAAAAACAATCTGTCATGATATTTCGTGCAGATCCTCCAAAAGTTCCTTACAGCGATCAATATTAAGCACAGAACTACTTATGGAGTTACTCAATTCATACTCTTTTGTATGATACATTAAATTTTTGATTATCAGTCATATATGTATGTGTAATATAAAATTCCTACTTTTTGTGTAGGCAGAATCAGAAGCTAAAGTAGATAAGAAAAGAGATAAATTAGAAAGACTGGTACTTGAATCACAAGAACGAGCCTATTGGGATTTACATAGACCACCACCAGGCTGTATTAATACAACGGATATTGATATGCGTAAATTGTGTCGCGCTAAACGCCCTAAAAAAACCACATCTCGTCCTATAAATTTTCCTATTCCGAGTGGCCCAGGTTAGTGCATTTCTTGTATTTTCAGGTTACAATTTTATGTAAATTATTATATTTTCAAATAATTATGTGTTGTATATAGTAACTTATTCAATTTTCCTCTATCCATACGACAATCTGGCTGATTAAGTCAAACTTAGTATCAATGTAGTGCATTGTTCTCTTGCTAATGCTTCAAACATCAATATGTATCAGATTTTAGATCATTTCTCTCATTCCTGGTTTTAAAATTGGACTGAGTAGAAGAAATTTTATACTTACAGTCGTTTGCATAAGTTTTAAAGAAAGTGAAAACAACTATTTAGACAGAATACCATGATGGTTCAATCTGTTTCACTACATTTTGTCTATAAATTAGTAACATTTCAACTTTCGATTTTAAATATGGATATATATATCACTATCGCTCTTTAAATGAATGTAAAAAGTATGCTTAGCATACGATTTGAAGTTATCTCACCAGTGAAAAGCAGTAAAAATCGAATCAAACAAATTTGACATTTTTTTAATGATTCGTCGTATTACTCACTAACTACATGATTTTTATTTATTTAAACATATAAATATTGGTACAAGAGGGGTACCAGATATATATGCGCCACACAAAACAATGAGAATGGGAAGAGAAAAAAAGAAGGTAAGGTGCATATAAGAAAAAAACAATAACGACCACAGATTAGTGTGTGGTACTGTAATAGTAATAATAATAATAATAATAATAATAATAATAATAATAATAATAATAATATGGGTAACGGAAAGGTACAACCAGAAGAATTCTTTCAGTTAAAGAAGTTAAAATCACTTTTTATGAAGAAAGTAAAAGAAGGTTACAGCAGAATCGCCACTGTGTTGCACCATCTTTAAGACGCCAACCAGAGAGTTGTGAAGAACCAACAGAAGCCAGTCGTAAACAGCTTTCTTTAATATCACAATACCATGTCATGCACTGACCACCTCTCCACTTTTTCCAACCAGTCCCAAATAATGCACGACGTGAAATTCCCTGGGACGACGTTAGTAGAACATGTGCAAGTCGATGTTTCAAGATGGTGACACCACTCTCGGCCATACCAGGGCATTTCGAGGCTTTATATACGTGAAAACATCTAATTTTCTACATTCCTGTTAATGTTTTACAGTAGGTTTGTTCGTATGTGTCACTTTTTCCATCAGTTTAAACAAAGTTATCTCGAAAATAACGTGCGTCAAGTCTTCAGTACTACATGATAGTGGTAAGTAAAGTGAAGGAAGACCTTACAAATGTGTTAGGTAGTTGGAAACAACTGACATAAACCTGGATTTATGTTTTGTACTGGTTGATGCTCGTCACCAAGTTTTATCTACAATTTTCAAGAAACTGATACTCTATTGAGATTCGAACCTACTACATCCGATGTTAGGGTCAAAAACACTTATTATTGGTAACCTTTCCTAGTATTTGTAAAATTCACCAGTCGCCAAATGTGCCTTCTATTTTGAAGTAAGGTGGTAACTACACAACTTGTTTTGTTTTATCGAAAATAGGCGGAGTTATGTTGGAATGCGTGATCTATGTTTTTATATATGATTATATATTTATCTTCACCACATAACACTGTCTTTTGTAGAAATCATGTGGTGTATTTTAGTGACTGATTTTTGCAAGAGTAAAGTGTCCAAATCCTTAAGAATTATTATCTCTAGTGTAACACTTTTCCAGAACACTTGAGGCTGACTGATAATGAAAATTTTTACCTGATCAGTCAACTTTTTTTGAATTCTTTGCATTTTGATTCATATAAAAACAAAGGGAAATGATATTTTTCCCTTTCCATTTTTCATCTTTTCCTGTATATTTTAGATGGATCTATTTTATTCTCCGTTTTGGATGGTCTTTCACTACGAGATAGGATAGACAAACTTCATACTTGTTCACGTACAAGAATTAAATCATCTAAAGCTGCTGAGAGTTTGCAAGTATGTTTATATCACGTAGTTCGTTAACCCACTTATAGTCATTTGATTTTAAAATGTACAGTTTGTCTCATTAGTGTAGGTTTTCAGCTTTTGATCACTAGATTTCAGTTTCCAATTCCACTCCGTTTACACTGATATTCGGGTCATAGTCTCACTAGAGCTCACAAACTAAACGGTATGACTTGCAATCTACAACGTAAGACTGTCAAGGACTACTACTGATTTACATTTATTCTGCATTTCAGATTTTATTTATGTATTTTAACACATAGATATTGGTACAAGGAGGCACCAAATACATATGCGCCACACAAATCTCATTCGATATGTGTGAGGGCTATGATACTGCCCGGGTGCCCAAACCGAAGCAGATGGTTTTCTTAGAGGGCGACACCCCGAGCCTTCGACCTGAAGGTCTGATCCACAAGGCAGTGGAGCATCATAGGGAGATGCAGTCCCATGGTACCCGGTGACCAACGATTGGTTCATATGCCATTTGTTCCCGCAGGATACTGGAGCCCATGTGAACCATTGATTTGGAATCCGGTTAAAGCTCCGGACATTCACTTTTCGTCCTCTCATTTTCGTAGACAACACCCCCGCCACGAGAAGGCAGTGAGTAGGACTTCCCTGTCAGTGGCTGTATACGCGTGGCCGTGTGAGAGCATTTCGAGAGGGAGAGCGAACTCTCCCCACTCTCGGCCATACCAGGGCATTTGGGGGCACATTTCAGATTTCTCAGCTTACTTAATACACTCACTGCATCGTCAAATTAAGTCCAATTGCACCAGTTGGCATGTGATAAGATGACATCCAGAGAGTAATGTGGGAGTTGGCTGACACAATATTGATAAAATTGATTGAATTCTCAATATTATAAGTTCTAGAAAGAACGGATAATAAAATATGATATCAGTCTATTTATTTTTAACCAAGAATATTCCTTTTCCGTTTTCTTATTTCCTTTTGTTGCTCTTATAAACATAACAGGTAGGTAACTATTTTTGTCATTCACTTGTTTACTGTTTCAGAACTTTGCCGATCAGTATTCTGAATTCGATTTACTTTTATCTACGTCAACATCTCTTGGTTTCTCTGCACCGTCTACAATTGGAATAAATCAACCGAATACAGCTTCTTCTACTAGCCAGTTGGCGTTAGGTAGTTTAAATGTGAATACTAATTCTTCTACCACTGCCACTACTCCAACATCTATATTACGTACATCCGGTGATAAATTAATTCACCATACTCGTAGTATTTCAGCTACTGGATTTAATGGAATCACATCATTGACTTCAATATCATTAGCTCGTACCAGCAGTGGAACGGGAAATGGTGCACATAATTTCTCGACAGGTGGTCAAATTTCTAGTGGACATGGATCAGCTGGACATATGGGAGTACTTACTGCTAGTTCACCTAATTCGGGTAGTTAATTATTTTCCTTTTTTTCTCTCTAAATATCAGCGTTAATATGATTGTAGATAATAAAAAGTAGGACTTATTTTATCATGTCATATAGTTTCTTAAGCTGTTTAATGAATCAGCTGCTTTGTAGTTAAGGCGTTAGACTTTCAACTACCAGATCATAGGTTCCCGAGTCTTGCTCCACCTACTTCTGTTTAATCAGTTGGATAGTATTATTAGCTGTCACACAAAATACAACTTACTTCAACTCAATGCCCTTCAGTGTTCCTAATTTCCATTCAATAAATCATGATTAAGTCTCCACTGAATTATTTAATTTCCTCTTGATCGTTCTGTGATTTTTAATTTTAAAAAACATCATGTCCGTTGAAGACTGGGTTTAGGGTGTTGGTGTTTATAAGTCAAATGATTCGTGTGAAGTAGTTTAATCTTACAAAAGATCAGTTGTCTGATGGATTCATCAACTGAATATATTGTTAACAAATTTGTAGTTGAGTGTTACTTCGAGTGAATCAATGTTATCGTGTTTGTTGTTGCAACTCCCTGCTGAGATGACTGCCAACAAAGAAAAAAACTTCCAGTCATTATGAAGACTACTTTTTATTATTTAACATATCATATAATGAACTATAATATTTTTATAACTTAAGATTCATTCGTTTTTGTCATTGAGTTAAAACCCATTCTACTTCGCACATTAGCTTTATATGTTAAATGAAACCTCTGTTCTTAAGAGTTGTATTGATTAAAATAACTGATACGTAAGATTAAAATTAAGTCTGTGAGTCAAATGTTAGTTCTGTTAGCTTGCGAATAACTTACAGAACTTGCATCTTTTAACTAACCGTGTTTCAATTACTTTATATTCATGTTTATTTTACATCGAACATTTTATAAACATGTCTTTATTGATAGATAAGTCAGTCAGTCATTTACAACGTAGGACCAGGCACATATATGCATCGATCCATGTTGCCACATCTCATTAGCACAAGATGAACGCCAAAGTGGTATTTAAACTCATTCTTTGACCAGTTTCATTGTCCTTTTATATCGATTCATTCGGAAAACTCGCGTTAATAATTCTAATTCATAAAACTGATCACAACCATTTTATATCATTGAGAATCAATTATCTGTCGGATTGTGTTTTGTTCGTCATTTTTTTTTAAATCCAAACATACGTCATAATCTTAAGTCCCAAAACCCATTTTCCCTAACAATAATTTTTTTTCTAAAAAGGCCTCAAGCTAGTGGTTAATTGAACTCAGTAGGTTAGGTGTTAGGTGTTTGAACAGAATGTGCTGTGTTTGAGTGCCATAGTGGACATCAACACACAGATCCAGCTACTTCTAGCCGAAGCGTTCTAAATAAAATTAAACGTGTCCTGAATCCCTCTACTAACCACTATCCAACTATACGTAAATACTTGTGTTAGCGGGACATAGACTAGATTAAAGCATGCTCAATGCATGATTGTTTTGGTGCACGCTGATTGGCTGATTCTTATCCAATCAGCACTAGTCGATAGTCGGAGAATACTCAGGAATCTTCTTATATAAAAACTATAAATATACCGACGTTTTCCCCTATTGTGCTTCCTACTGGCTTCTGACTTGCTATTTGGAATATAATCTTTTTCCTGTTCAACCGTGTTCTGATTTGGGGACTTGTCGAGTGAATCGGTGTCCGAGAATACTAAGCAATAGGAATAGCTGGGTCAATAACCGTAAGAAGAAACAGAGTTATAACAACTTGTTACTCAATAGTATTATCAAGGCAATCAACTCAAGATTCACCTATTCCAAAGGCGATTGATCAATTTCAGTTCATATTATCAACAATGAAAAAATTCGAACTATTGGTAATCAGACCGAAATTGATGTATAATTATATTACTCCTTGTAGTTTATGACTGTTTACAGTAGACGTGAATCCTTGAAATAACCTTTAATTCATTTTATTCTGTATATAACTTGTCGTGCTTAGTTTGTTCAAATTTATCAAAGGAAACATCATATGTACTGTAGTGAACAAGAACACAAGCGGGGACAGTCGAATGTATTTGAACACGAAATTACAGAATATCTCACTAAAATGTGAAAACCATACAGTAAATACTTGCAAAATATCAATCAGTTGTCTCAAACTTGACTGTTTCTTTGCAAATATCAGTCAGTCGTCTCAGATTTCACTGTTCCTGCATTTTCATACCAATCGCTTTCCGTTCCTGTTCTTTCCTTCACGATCTTCTACTGAAATACATTCTATTCCTGACTATCGTTATATGCTACTTATATGGATATAAGTAGCTCACACCACAGTGTGACATTAACGTTTACTACTTAACTATTCAGAATAAAGTGATTAGTGTGTGGTTCGAAATTTAAATCATTTGATGAACATTAGTTATTTTTAGTAGATCAATCAAAATACATGCACGCTAGTTTTAATCGACTAATTTTTTAAATGTTATTCTTTTTTTTAGTCTATGATCCTAATCAAGAACCAGTTAGTGCATTGAATCCTTGGATTTCTGATAATCCTGATTATTGGAATACGGACTTACGTCCAAAATATCTACCTATTCGTCGTATTAAACGTTGGAGTTTCTCAATTCATGAACTATTAAAAGATCCAGTTGGTTTAGAAGAATTTCAACGTTGGTTAGAAAAAGAATTTTCAGCAGAAAATCTCAGATTCTGGCAAGCATGTCAAGTAAGCAATTTACATACTTGTTATTCACTTACCAAGTATGATTCTATGTACCCAATTTTAAGTAGAACTCTTTGTAGAAGAACCACTGGTATTATCCAGTTGATCAAACTGAAGTAGTGTGTATTATGGGATCCAAAATTACAACTCAAACGACTGGATGTAAAGTTTTTTAACCAGTGAAACTGCCACTTGAAAAAGAAATCTTTTGTCATTGTAATTATTTATGCATTTTCACGATAGTGGGTACTAATGAAATCTAAGATGGGTGTTTCATTTTATTTGGGACTTGTCAAGTGTGTTTATACTTCAATTAATATTGATAATTTTACTGGAAATCTGATCCAATACCCATCGTTTCAAAAATACTAGACTGTTATCCACTAATCTACCCAATTCATAACAGCTATTACCTTTTCTGGAAAATCTAGAATTGAGTATCAGACTTAGTACGGATTGCAAACAGCAAGATCAATGTAATAAGTACCAAATAGGACGAAATGCTCCTCTTCAACTTCACCTCTAATCAATATCAAAATATATTATCAATATTTATGAATACATGAAATACTCATGATGTCCATAATCCATTAGTAGAGACTAATGAATTCATTCATTTTCAAATGACGATCAACCTAAAATTCTCCTTTGTTTGATTCGGGTTGGATTTTCGGGGAATGATGCAATTCCATACTAGCTAACCCAGTCCTCAAAAATTAGGAGAGGAAATTTTTTTTTAAAAATCCGAGAAGTTTATTTTAAATCCGACTGACCATGATACAATATGAAATACATGTGTATCTATAGAAAATTTTCAAGTGTCCTTAAAAATCAAACACTGCAGATACCAGTTTTAGGGATTCAATTTTTATAGTTCACTATAACACTATTCATGATTTTGTAAAAAGTTCCCGACTAATCTACCTGGATATTGTCTACGCGAAACAAAGTAAAATATACAGAACAAAATATTGAGATCAAATTTTTAAAAAAATATTTTTGTGTGTAAGATACATGTAGTTATGTTATAATTCTCTCTTACGGTTATAACCCAGCTATTCCTATTGCTTAGTACTCTCAGACACCGATTCACTCGACAAGTCCCCCAAATCAGAACACAGTTGTACAGGAAAAGAGATTATATTCCAAATAACAAGGTTAGATGGAAGTAAGAAGCAAGTAAGTGCAATAGGGAAAACGTTAGTATATTTATAGTTTTTCACATCAGAAGATTTCTAGAGTGTTCACTAAGTATTGATTAACGCTGATTTGGATAAGAATTAGCCAATCAGCGTGCACCAAAGCAATCATGCATTGAGCATGCTTTAATCCAGTCTATGTCCCGCTAACAAGTTACGAAATTTCACATGAAATACATTTACATTGTCCTACATACTGCCTATCATCAACCATCCACTTAATCAATTTTTTCCTTCATATTTTGCGTTTACTAAAATATTTGTTATTGTTGAGAAAATAGTCTTCATGTGGACGGGGAGATTTCACTGAATAAATTAATAGACCCATCAGCATTTTTTAAAAGCTAAGTACTAGCTTCGGTCTGGGCACTCGGGTAGTATCATAGCCCACACACAATTCAAATGACTTGTGTGTATTCGTTGCCCCTTTGTACCAATATTTATGTGTTGAAATAAACAAATAAAGCAAGAACCACTTCTAAATTTTTATTGTATCACACTACTCTTCAGTTTTAGGTTACCAAGATAAAGTTAAACTATACTGTCGAACGACCTATTTTAATTAGTCAGAAAAGAATAAGTATAGATGAATGAATTATAATATAATACCAAAAATATATCGTTGTTTTATATTATTAGCTAATTCGTATAGGTTTGCTACAAGCTCTTAACCGTTAGATTTTGGTGCAAAGATCACGATTAATGGTTATAATTTCAAGATGCTCTAATCACCAATTCTTTCCCAAAACCTGACCCTAATCCCAGATCTAACTCAAATCATAACCCTAATTTTAACTCGGTCTTAATCCTTAATCTAGACAAAACTCTTCACTCTAACCCGAAAATTAAACATTAACTACTACGATCTTAACCCTATTAAATATTACGATAAAATATAGTGTTTTTCTGCACTCATGTTCTGTCATTTCATTCCCCCATTCACAAGTGAATGTTTTCTTCACCAATTCAACGCCCTTTGAATAACTAACACTGTTTCCTTCACGAAAGCTTATCATTATACGGTTCCTGATTAACATTCTGGCTTAATTATGGTTCAACAAATGTCATTGTTAGGTTCACTTGAAATCTCTAAATTCTTTCCTCATTTGACTTATTTTTTATTGCTTTATACTACGTGTTACTATTCAATAAACAGTTTCATTTCTAATAATTTTTTGACTTATGGTGCAATGTATGTTTATCGATGTGCTATATTCTGAGGTATTTACATAAACTAATAACATTTACTGCGTCTATTGCTGTAATTATGTTCTCTCAACTCTTGTAACAACAATTTCTAGCTTTCGTGCATTTCTTAAATCTTTGTTTAGATCCAATAGTTTCCATATTTTTGTCCTCTTAGTCCCTGTTTGGATTGTTGATGGTCATTATTAACTTCAAACACAATTACCGACCGTCATTTACGCTATCACATATTGTAATTAATCTTAACGTGATTATTACTGGTATTCTTTTTTCCAGACGCACAGACGCATTAATCGCCACATATACCTCACGAGTTTGAAACCCATTTACAATAATAAACCGTTCATTAAATAAATCGTTGTTTTGAATCTCAATATTATGTGTATTTCAGTTGTATTGTTAGACGCTTTTATATACTTAACAGTCGTTCTAAGTTGATATATGAGTGGGTGACTTTGAAGTATTTGTTCGATCCTGATTGCTTTCTCAATATTGTTCAGCCTTATTGATCACGAGTTCATCTACTCCAGTCTATATAATTGAGTGCTATGTCTGTTTGTTGTGGTATCTAAGAGATATTTTTTGTTATAATGCAAGCAAAAAAGTAAACTGTTGTCTAATTTATTATAATCTCTCCATTTATAGGTACTTAAAGGTGCTCCATTGCGTGAAGTTCGTCAATCCATTATGAATATATATCAACAGTATTTAGCTCCAAATGCAGTAGAACCAATAAATATTGACAGTAGAATCGCTGATCTAGTAAGACGTCAAATAGATGGTGAATCGAATACAACACCAAATCGTTATTGCTTTGAAGCAGCTGAAGAACACATTTTTCATTTAATGAAATCCGATTCTTATTGTCGTTTCCTACGATCTGATGTTTATCGTGAATTATTTCGTGGTGATAAGAAAAAGTCAAAGAAACAGCAACGTAGTAGTGGAATCAATTCGAATAATGCTTTGTCAAGTGGTCCCGGCGTTGGTGCTCAAGTTACTGCAACAGTTAATTTTACTGGAATTGAATAGCAACCAAATCTTCCACGCATAGGCTAGTGGTTGACTGTTACCAATAGTTCTATTCTGCTTATTTTGAATAAATGAAAAAAGTGCTTTTTCATTGTTTGCATTTCATTATTCTATGTTGTATATGTTTTTATTTTATTTTTTTGTCTTCTCTTTTTTCCACCATAATATTTACTCATCATTTTACGCTTGGTTCCCAAAGTTATATTTGTAATGACGACAATTTGTTATGATACTTTCAGCGAAATTTACATTTTCAAAAAATCTTCTCACTTTGTCTTACCCTCAAAAAAATATGATAATAACTCCTGTCTAAAGATATTATGCCTCATGGTTAAATCCCCCAATAAGTTTGTGATCTCTCTTCAAATTTATGACTAACTTACTAGACTATCTATCTGATTGACTATGCTTTGTGATATTAATACGCAAATTTAAAAGATGCTTAAATATACGTATCCATTGTAAAAAGAAAACTACCGTCCTTCTATGTTATTGTATGTGTATGTTTGGTCAATAAGTTTTTATCTTATTCACTAGTCAATAAACGTTTAATTACAACTTGGATCTCTACAAATTTCAATTTTACATAATGTATTGTGCAATTTCAATTTTGAGCGCGTGTTCAAATCCCAAAGGAACTCATTACATAATATATGCTGTGATATACATATATCTTATTTGCATTTCTCTTTCTCTCTCTCTCATGCATTTATTTTTAAACGCACAGATGAAATGTAACTTTTAACGAATCATAGATATTTATGTATCCTTCCATATGGAGCTTATTATGTTGTAATATTGTTTAATGAGCAATTGATTGTCGGGTTACTTTTATTTATTCCTTCTTAAGATGTATTGTTGCTTCTCTTCTTTTGTTCATTTGTCACCTGAATTGATCTGCTTTCATTAATTGTTGAATTATGATTTCAGTTATATCTTTTAGCTTTGATTTTATTATATGGTTGTTTTCTTCAAGACGATTATAACATTATGGTTGTAATATAATATGATGAATATATATTACAAACTTGTCGTTTGACTAATGATAGAGGTGAAGTATATAACTACCATATTACTGTATTTTCTTCTCAAGTATTTAACACTAACATTCGAATAGATTTTAGTTTTCTGTCATTTTTGTTTAATATTTATTAATGTGGAAGTTCCAGTTGCGTGTTTTTTTTCTCTCACGGTTATATCAACTACTCATAACCATTTATTTAAGTAGACAGTTGTTTATCATTTTATCTGTTCTGTTTATTAGTTTCAACTTCACTTATGTTAAAATACATTATAATTTCTTTCTGAAATAAATAAAATAATTTGTGAATTGAAATCTGTTAGTTGAGTATCTACTGAGCGTCAACTAGTTTTTTATAGTAAACATTTTATCTCCAAACTAAAAAGAGTTTACAGTGGAGGAAATAGCCTTCATTTTACCTAACAATTTGGCGTTAGAAACGTCGGCTTAAAGGCATAGGAACTTAACTCCTAACTACTGAATCACGGGTTTAAAACTGGTTCCATTTCAATTTCAGATATAATATTGTCACTAGTTCTCTCACAAAGTATGTACGAGGTCACGGACTTAAACTTAATTAGTGAGTAGCTGCGTATATTTCTTCGATTTCCCTTGCGAAATAATGAATTATTGTTTTATTGCATCATTTGTACACTGCCGAAATTATCCAATTTCGTAGTACCTATTGTCTCATTACCAAAATCTGTTTATGGTTAACAGTGGTCAGCTAGTATAACTGTTTAGCCTAATCAATTATGTTTATATAAGTTCTTTAGAGCAGAACTTAGTTTTTTTTAAACGACACCTATTCTACGGATTTTGATAAGGATCAATAATAAACAGTAATATTTCGCGAAAGTATCAAAAAAAGCAAATCGAGATCTTATGTGGAGTGTCACTTATAAAACTGGTGTGGGCCAATCACATTTTTCTTGTGTAGTATCGTGTCACAGAAAGATTGACCGAATGTTGACTTAAGATGTACACTTCCCAATGAGTCAATCGTTAGTACTTTGATACAGTAGTCAAGCATATTCCACATAAACAAATTTATGACTATTTTAGATAATAAAGTTCCTATCGCTACATTTTTGTGTATCCATATGGATAATTTGGGCATTAATTGTAATTTCAAGGTTTTGATAATCTCAAAATAATCTAATGGACAAAGTGAATGTAATCATTATCAAATGTCTAGAATCTTGTATTATAATAAACATAATATTGAATAAAACGATTACTATTAACCTTGTTGAGGCTAATGTCCTCTATATCTGACTCAATATCCCGTTAACCGAGTATTTAATGCAGGCTAAATCTCTTGGTAGAACTATGGATTTTACGCGAGATTATTCAAAAGCCCGAACACCAATTGTAGAGATAATTTATTGTTAATGATTAATAAAAATCCGCAAGCAAGCACACGGTGAAGCCAAGTAAAAATGATGCGCAGTGGAGATGGCTGGTAAGTCAACTCCCTTTTAGTCAAGCGTTACTCAATATTTATAGTCAGACAAAATAAAGCTACAGAAATGTGATTAATGGGATAAGATGGGCACACACATATACGCTCATATAAAAAGTTTAGATTGATAAGCGAATAAATAGCAAGGTCAAAGTATGGCTCAAGTAGAATGAATAGAATGGAATGTCCGAAAGCTAGAATAAGGCATATGGGCTTAATATATTAACTGACACTACAACTTTAAATGTTTCATGTTTAAAAGCTGTAGTACTTTTCTTATTTCAACCTTCACTTTATTGAATATGACTAAATAGCTTTTTTCTCAATTTCATCTTGAAGTTGTTTATTTTTCCCTTATAGTTTGACAATTTCATGATAACTTACGCTATCTCCCCAAATTCTCTTCTAATAACATTTGCTTTTCATGTACACAATTTAGTTATTACTAAATAATTGTCCGACTTTCGCTCCAATCTCTCTCATATATAAATTGATTGTGTGTAAAGTGGTGTTCATAATTTGGAGTGTGTTTAGGTCTGGTAATTTACGTATACAAACCTATGAGTACTTGAAATACAGAATAACAGAAGCTCGGTAGTTCTATTCCCTTGTTCGGACTCAATACTAGGAATTAACATAACTAAACATCAGGTGAATATTAGTCGTAGCAGTCAGAGCGTGTCACTGGTCAAGACGTAGGACATTAGACCAAAGACGATGTGGTGTACTCAAGATAGAAAACTACGGATCCGGATTCTGATTGGTGCATATATTAATTGATATCTATTAACGTTTCAGATATAATAATCATAAAAACAGTTTCTTTAATAGAATTGTTCAAAGCCTACTCACCTGGAGGTTTAATGTCCAATGCTCACAAATGTGATTTCTTTCATTCTAATATTGAAATCCTTTCTAAGGATTGAAATTGTATTCTCTTTTAATATTCCATCTGACAGACCCACTAACATTCTGTACCAGTAAACGAATCCTCAAAATATATAAATTCATTGCCTTTCGATATTTATATTAATCTCACTAGTTTTAAGGAACACAAATAGCTGAAAACATCCGGTCAACCACTGTCGACATATCTCGGTAGAGCCCATGAGAGATACCTCACCTTTTATATAATGAGTTTGACAATTTCATGTTTATTCACTTCTGCCTCCAATCAAATATATTATTCTTCGGAATTCTTTTCTTGCTTTCTTTGGCGCCTCTCTTCCAGTTATTCCCGGTTCTGTTGTGTAAGAACTCATTTAAAATACAGGCCCAGTGGATGTTAAACCATTTGTTTAAATTTCATCATTTCTTGTTTTTGGAGATTTGATTTTTAAAAAAAGCATAAATTTCAATAATCTATACACTCAATAATATCAAATTCATAGCGAGTTAACATCCTGACAAGGTAATTACAGCAAATAACAACAACCATTTTGACTAATCCAGTCAAAGTCTATGATGATTTAATAAATTAATTTGTCAAGTAAAATCCTTGATGTTAAAGCCAGTCTTTAAGGAAAGGCTTGTTTTAGGAGTCAGTTCAAAAATGTGCAGTGGCATTATGTCAAATAAAATTAGCTATAAGTTTAAACTACTGAATCGAAATTTCAGTAGTTGCATGTTTTATATAAACTTTTTCCGAAAATGATATTTCGATAAGGACAAGATGAAATATCTTTTTACAACAAGTTACTAACTTAAGAATGAACTCATCTTTCACCCT